ATTATATCTTTTAACCCAAAAACATTTCAAAAATTTTTTTTATTATATTTTTTACCTTTTCAGCCCCTCAATACCACATTTAGGGCTCCCTATCTTTCTCTTATTGGGTTGAAATGATATAAAAAAGTTCATTGGGGCTAATTTTTATGGTCAAAAGTGAACAGATGAGGAAGATAGGAGATGAGGGGCTAAGGTGGAATCCTTAGGGGTTTTTTTTGTCGCTTGAAAGAAAAATGGAATGAGGGTCTATTATGAAATAAGATAGGGAATTAGGATTCTGTACAAAATTTTCCCAATAATAAATTTCTCTAGTCCCCTTAGTATCAAACTTAATTTAAGGCTCCAAACGTCAAATTAGATTTTTTTAATGAAAACATTATTCTGTATTTGGAGCCCAAAAAGGGTATTTAAATTATGTAACAGCACATGATGACGTCATTTATCTTTGGTACAAGGCGGTCACAATTAATTTTGACTATTGAATGTGAAATTAGATGGTTGTATTTATTTCATTGACCAATCTCAAACTTCAAAAGAAATTTTCTCGAACTTTGTAACACACTTAAGCTATCAAATTTCACATTGGATGGTTGCAAGTATTTGTGACCTCCTTGTACCAAAGGTAAATAGTCTCATTGTATATAACCCTGTTAGTTATTTGGCAAAGTGACTTTAAGTGGACGAAATTAAGCTTTTTATGAAAAGCCCAAGCATATTTTAACAAAACTACACAAGAGGTACCTAATTAAAAAAATTTCTAGGACGTCTTTGTTTTGGAGGAACCCCTTCCATACCCCCATAAAAGTAAGACTTTATTAGGAATTGTTGATTTAACCATTTATTAGGAACTGTTGATTTAACCACCTGATTAATTTTTTTTAGAGTAATTTGACATAATAATTCCCTAATTTTATAAAATAACATAATTATATAATGTGGAATGGTGCTACTTTTTTTTTTTTTTTCTTTTCTAATTCGAAACTAGATATATTGGGTCACAAGCACTTTGGTACTTTGGATTTCAGATCAGGGGGTAAGAGTGTCATTGACTAGGCCCACCCAATTTGACATCTAAAGGCTAGGAGTGATTATGACATCCTTGTAACAAAGATAAATGGCTTTATGGTATACAATCCCTATACAAAATGTACTCTAGGAATAAATAATATTATATATATAGCCTCTAGGCCCTTTCCATCACGATATATGACAATTGTTAATCGGTAGTAAGTAAAAAAGATTGTGTACTATGAGATCATTTATCTTTGATACAAAGATGTCACAATTACTTCTAGCCATTATATGTCAAATTGGATGGCTTGGAGTGTTCAACAAAATTCAAGAAATTTCTTTTTGAACTTTGAGTCTAGTCAATTATACTTTACAACCACCGGATTTGATATCTAATGGATCAGAGTGTTTGTGACATTTTTGTACCAAAAGTAAATGATCTCTTTGTATATATATTTTTTTGTATGCGTGGTAAGTTTATTTTTAGAGTTAAGTCCATTTTTAGGATATTATCAAAAAGCGGCACATTGGCATTATCAAACTTACATCATTTTAAATAAAATAGACAGTATAGATTAGTGTAACCGTACTTCTATACCTCGCTGTTGAGGGCTTTGACAAGACTTAGCCTTCTTGAGCAATTTGACGTGTAGCCTATGCGAAGAAAGCTAATAGAGGCAACGAGCAAGCCCCAAGCGATTATATGTTCCACATAGGCTACACATATCAAAGTACTCGCTACTATGCATAGGAGCAAGTGATTTGATGTTGCGCATAGGCTACACATAGGCAAGCCACTATTAAGCTTTGCTCGTTGCATCAAATCGATCCGCAAGGTAGCCAAGTCTTGTCAAAGCCCAAATTGAAGAAGTGTACAATACGAAGTGTCAAAAAACTACATGGTAAAAAGCAAACCAACGAATGCAAGCAAGAAAATAGATATGCGTTAACGCGCATCCATTTTCATGTTAGGCTAGCCGTTGCTTGTTGTAAGAAAACGGAAGCACGTTAGATTAGTACAACCTTACTTTTATAAATAAGACTGCAACCTTATATTAACTTTCCATATTTATGATTGTGCTATTTGGAACCATGGCTGTAGGTGTCCAAGCTTAAAGTCAGTGACATTCACAAATTGTGATCAATTATTATGCCGTGACATTCTATTCAGAGCTTTTCAAAGCTGTTCAGAGCTAGAAACTCTCTCACTGAATTTGAGTAATGATCTTCCAAATGATGCATGGCCAGAGTTACAGAGAAGTTGCAGGAGCCTGCGCCAGCTAAAACTGAAGGGATATACATTCTATGACATAGACATAGCTCACATTGCCAAGCATGTGAAAGGGATCAAGGCCTTAGTCCTTGAATTCTTGTACATTTACAAAGAAGATGTGGCCCATTTTCTCAAAGCCTGTAAGGAGCTCGATAGTTTCATTCTCTTCTATGGTGAGGGCTTCAAAATGGACCCTGAGATCCTTTGGTTGGTTTCGGGTATCCGTGACTTCCGAATTTTTAAACTGGACTGCTACAACAACATGTCTTACTAATGAATTCTGAGGGAGGCTTGTTTTGTATTGAAATTTTCGGCAAATAAATGGATTCGGAGAAATAATTCAGAAGCGTGATCTTAGCTTGCAGGTTTTCTGGATTCGAACTTTGTTGCGGCGCTTGTAGACTGATTTCTCAGCTAAAAGTTTATGGGATTTCTTCATAAACGAGGGCTGAAGAACCTAGTGAAGCTAGTAATGTTAGATTTTTAATCTACTCTTTTTCTTCTTTAAGTTGTAATTGTCTTGCTTTGATGGAGTTATTTTGTTTTAAGGTGGATTCCCCTTTGCAAATGAATTATGTTGATTCGATTTCTGACGAGATGTTTAGTGAGGAAAATTCATGGCTGATGATGAGCAAGATGTATAAATAAAAAATAAAGGGAAATTCATCAAACTACACCTTAGAGGGAATTATTTAAAATCTCCTCTTTCATTTTGAACAAATTCAAATAGTCCATTAAAGGACCCATCAATATGGGTCATAATAGTCCAATGAGAACATTCGGGGACACAAAAAGAAAAAAATCTCACTCCTATGTGCACCGAGTTCTCAAACTCTTCAAATTTGTTGTACATTTTGTGCATCTCACTCCTATGTCCCTCCTACCTCACAAGTATATGCAAATCTCCTCTCAGTCAAATCTGTAGAGAATCTGGCCTAGAAGTCACTGGACCCTGGATGACATCTACTTGGGACCCTTGAAGAAACACCACACTTGAACCTTCAAAAATTCCTTGACCTCAAGGTCCAGTTCATTTTGGTCAGAGCCAAAGGAGATAAAAGATTAAAAATAAAAAAGATTAAAATTGAACCAGAGTCGACATTAGATGTCAACCAAAGTTGACATTCTCAGAAGACTTTGGACTTCATAAACCATGGATCACAGTGTTACCAGCAACAAAAGGCACCATAAGATTACACCATTCTTTGTTAAGAGGCAGGTTGGGCTAGTGAACAAGCAATTGGATTAATGAAGTGGGGATGACCCAGCTTACACCAAAAGAACCCAGGTCAGTTGCACATGTCTCATGCTCAATTCTACAATGAAAAAAAAGGTGACTTACATATTCGCTCTGCGTGCACATGAGACGTGTTGCCAATGGGTTAGCCATGGCTCTTCAGGTAGTCCACTATGATAATTTTTCCAAGCACTACTAGCTATCAGAAAAGCTCGCCTCTTGCGTGGACCTGAAATAGTCCAAACCTTGCAAGCAATAGAAACCACAATATTGTCGATATCATCAGTGTCGATAATTTTGTACATGGACCAGGCTAAGAAGAGGCCATGGCTATCTGGCTTCCAAACATGGCATAATTGTATTGGGTAAAAGTAGAAGCATTATAGGACATCAGGAAGAAATGTAGAGGCATAGGCAACTATATCTTGAAGTCTGAAGTCTGTAACATTGCAAGGTAGAAGACCAAGTGGTCCGCGAGCCCCATCCCACAATTGATTCAACAACTGTTACATTCAGCATAGATGTAACTGAAGGGATGGTATCCTAACCATTTTTCTAGGCAGAAGCACACCTTCTTGCCATGATTTACTTGTATCCAGATATTTTCAATGAAGTGATCTAAGAAATCTTTAATGCCCTTCCAACCCCGAGCCCAAGAGAGATTTCTCCCGCTGTTTTGTGCCTCTACCAAAAACCGCGATCCATGTGCTCCATATTTACCAATGACCCAACTTTTTTCAAGCATTCATTTGCTCATTGTCACGAGCTCCATTTTATACACGATGCCTTGTACATATCTCTGCTCCTATTGAGGCCCAGGCCTGAAGCCACCCTCCTTTGACCTACAAACCCTTGTCCGGCTTTGTCCCGTACCTCACACCATAAGAATATTTTCGTTAGAGATTCAGTTTAGTTTGCCACGAATTGCTAGGAAGGTGAAAAGGGATATCAAGATCTTTACTTTTATCAGAGGCCTCCATGACACAAAGGCCCTCTTCAACTTTCTCATTACAATTCTCTCTCTTCTTTTCACTTCGATTACTTGGTTTCCTCGTTCATAGCAATAGTCAATATGCTCATTCTTGCTAGTCTGTGGTCAGGATTCTTCATTACTTGGGGGCCTTCCCAGGCCATGATACCATCTTCTGCAAGCATTGGTAAACAAGACCTTATTGCAGCCATCCACTTCCATGGGTCCACAGTCCAACTTTTAGTCCAACTTTTTTCTTTTAGACAATGCTTCTTCTTAGAGCAATAGGTTTATACTTTCCTCCATGGTTGGCTTAGATTTTTAAATCAACATCTTCATAACATCAAACTCAATCTCAAAATTCCGGGATTACCGATTCATGCACTATGCTCAACTGATTCGAAATTTCTTTGTTGTTTCCACATCTCTCATTTGAGAGAGCAACTTAGGTCCACATGATATTTGAATCACATTGAGTGCCTCACCATTACTTTTTTTGACATGTCCATGTTGCAATCCTATTTTGTTGGGCAACAAATCTAGGGTCAGTCCCATCGACTAGACCTCATACCCTATTAAATAGGGTTTAAGCACGCAACATCAATATAGTCATGTTTCTTCACTCCTTTTAAATAAAAATAGATAAACTCGGAAAATTTCTAGTAATTCTGAAAGTGGAAACCGAGATTGATTGTTTATGAGCTGATTTCAGCATGCATACACCGGCTAATACGACCGACTTGCAGTGCCAATCCTAACTATTCAATAGGAGATGCATCCATTTTACTAACAGAGATATACCCTTTGAATTTTTTCTCTCCAATTCACACTTGAAGTTTTATCTCAAATTTGAAAGCACAAAGATCTCCTCTACTCGAGCCATGAGAGAAATACTGGTCGTAGATTCACTGATCTCCTCTCCTCAAGCCATGACAGAAATATTGGTCTTAGATTCACTTGGGGGTTTGCCTATATGTAAACCAGTGTACAGAAAATCAACTTGGACAAGGTACTCGTCCCATGGCCAAATTGAAAAAGTTGAAAAAACCTAAAAAAAGGTATAAAATCTCTAAAAAATCTTTATATGAAAAAAAAAAGTTAAAAAGATTAATAGAACCATTAGGAGACTAAATACGATGAAAAAAATATACAATATGGATTATTGAAAAAGTGGATTTATAAATTGGATATTCCAAAAAAAATTAAAAAAAGGGAAAAGTATGAAAGTTCCCAAATGATCTTAAAATATAGCAAAATCTTGTAAAGAAGTATCTCTAAACATTATACTATTGTTTTCTCTTCTTCTTTTTCTACATTTTAATGTATTCTTTCGGCATTTATTTGCCTGGAGAGTTGTACACGTAACTCGGAACTTGCCTCGCCCATAAGGCGAGGACGAGTTACCTGAGTCTCGGCAAACTGGTTTAAACACCATGAAGAGGTCTTGTAGATGGATAGAGAAACCTTAAATTACCATACAACCATAAGGAAGATGACAAAGAATTAGGTGAGGATGCCATAACAGAGGTAGCAATCGGATTGTGAGAGAGATGAGATGGAGGCAAGCAGAGAGAGATGAAGAAAGCTTGTAGAGAAAGGAGTGATGGGAGCAGATAGAGAGAGGAGATGAAGGTGCCTAGATTGATATGGATTGACTACATTCGAAAGGCGTATCTAAAAAATCACCAAAAAGGTTGCTTCGATGCTAAAACCCTCCAATTGATCATCTTCATCCAAAATATATAGATATAGAAAAAGGGATTTCAAGTGTATCAAGGCCCATTTATTTTTTAAATTTGTATGCATCTACGAATCTGTTTGATCTGCACCATTTTTTGATTTTTAGCATTCATAATTTGTAGTAAAAATGAATTTCATTATTTCGCGATATAACCGACATTGGAATTACATCTTCTAGGCCCATCTATTTTTTAAATTTGTATGTATCTACGAATCTACTTGATCTGTATTATTTTTTAAGCTTGAGCTTTCATAATTTGCAGTATAAATGAATTTCATTACTTCGAGATATAACCGACATTAGAATTGCATCTTCCCGTTTGGAGGTGGACCTTTAATTCTTCAAGGTTGATGTCTTTAAAAAGCACACCCTTGTATTCAAGTCTCTATTTTTGTATTTTGTTATATTTCCCAAACTATACTCAACTCAAATCTCAATTTTAGAACCAAAATATGTTTTTATATTAGGCAAAAAAGCCTTTGAGAAGTTCACGTTTTAGACATAATTTTGTGTGAAACCGGTTTTGGAGCATGGTTTTCTGAACCCAAAGTTCACTTGTATGTTTGTTAGTGAACTAGTGTTTTTTTTTTTTTTTAAGATATATAAGTGGGGAAAACGTGCACCGATCTATTTTTTCAAATAGTTAAGGAGTCAATTTTTTAAAGATGTAAGGGGGTGGTGTCAGTGGGAATGAAAATCTCAACATGCTGACTAAGGTGTCGGGGTGCTACTTCCACGACCCCAGAAAATGAGCTCCCTCCAAAACAAAAGTTCAATTTGAACCCTAGATATGGTCAAAATGAGTCCCATCCGAAAACGAATCTAGACCATTCATTTTGTTAATTTCAATATCTTAGTCTTTCTAAATTCAAAATCATTTTTTTCTTTTTTAACATTGTTCATCTAATGATAATAAAACCATCTAAAAAAATTGGAAATGAAAAAATCTTTCTTAAACCTAGATCTAATCATCTCACCAAAATGAACGACTTATGTTAATTGGGCTAAAAAATTACTTTCTAGGTTGCATTTTCAATTTTTCCTTTTTGTGTGCTTGTTCATTAGAATGAAAAGAGTATATCTTTCAAATTTTAGATTAAACAAATGGCCATAAGATGGTTTTTTAAGGCTATTGCATCATATTACTATACAAGAGGTGCATGAAATCATTGCCCTATTTTTTTTTACCTCCTCTATCTCCCCATCATCAAATAGATAGCTAACTCAATCCCAATCTCACACCTATACATACTTCAAACCAAAATTGGGGCATCACTTATCTTTTAAACTTGCACCTACAAATATATAAGACTTTTCCATATATGGAAAACACTACACAACGCCTATAGGCGAAAATGAACAGTGATTCGCCTATGCTCATCATTGTCTAAAGTTCATCGCACGGTCATAGTTGTCCGGTAGCGTTTCAATTTTCATTTTTTCTACAAATCATAATGATCTGAAATTTGGAACGTGTGTTCATCAAAAATTAGAGAATCTAATAAAAATATAAAAAAAAAAAATTCGTAAATATAAATTGATTAAAATACCCCCGTAAAATTTAAATTTTACAAAATATTTTTTTCATATTTTTATTAGGTGCACCTCACTAAGATGTACACATGCTTCAAATTTCAAGTAA